AATTGATAAAAGAAGAAAAATACAGAAGGAGTTTTATTTATTCTTTCTTCTTTTATCAATTTATATAAATAGATTTTATTCAATTTTGGGAAGTTTGATCCCGCATTTTTACTCACTTTTTCATGATCTAGGGTATAGAAAAGTTCTTATTTGTTCCGGGGAAAAATAATCACTCACTACGTTCGTGATTGAAAATCTTTAATTTCTACCTTAAACGAACGAAAAAGTTAATTTCCCGGCCAAAAAAAACATATTGTCCCGCATGGTAACACAAGACAGTTGCATAAATAGATTTATTTTAATTATTAGCAGATTGAAAATTATTAACACCGAATGCTTGAGTAAAACGTCCGGTTAAGATGGAATCACTTACTGCACTTCTTTTCCAGAAATTGTTTAATTTTGCATTTAGCAGTTGCCATGCGCTTTGTTTTTATCTAACAATTCAACCAAAATCCATCCCAACTATTAAGCAAACCAAGGTTTATAACATTAGATTTTTTTCGCTGAATTATGTAAGATATTGATTTTTTGGGGGGGGGGGGATGGGGAGTACTAAAATTGGATAGTTTTTTTCCCAAATCTTCAAAAAAATTTCCCCCCCCCCATATAAAATACATATCCCTGAACCAAAATATCCATCCTAGAATAGAGGAGTGGTTTAGAGACAAAGACTTATTGACAAACGTCCCTCCTTTAAGAATGTTGGAATGGGAAACATGTCAAATTCAAATTGTTACAAGACCTGTCTTGTCACATTTGCCAAATATATTGCATAAACTTGGTTAGTCAACAAGAGGGGTGGGGGAGGGCACCATCGGCAGTGAGGTGTTCATTAACACAGTTTTGGTATTTTCTTCTAGTTAGTAAAATGTTATTGCGTTGTTAAAACCATTCATGTAATTCGGTAAATTATATGTTTACAGTGTGTCTGTATAGTTCCATGTTTGTTTGTTTGTTTGTTTGTTTGTACAGCTAAGTGTCTATACTATCTATTTATACAACTATATTGTACACTGACTTAATGTAACATGTTCATAAATTGACATCCAACGACGGATGTTAAACAAATACAATTAGAAGATACATAAAGTTTATCTACTTTAAATTTGAAAATAAGTTGAATTATAAAATTATATATCTACCCGTTGTTGTAGAATGGATCATTTTTTGTCCCCGCACTTTTTAGCCCGAAAAGATGTAATCTGAATGACAATACATATTCACAGTGTAGGTTCTAACCTTTTTCTGTCACATTTTGATCATAATCTTAAAATTGGCAGTGAAGAGTCTCTAAAACGGGTACAGTTAGTTTTTTTGTAACTTACTTTCTCACGTTTAGAACTCTATCCCTCTTACAATCCAGTTTTTGGGTTTCCCCTAATTTTATCCTAGAACGTAATTTCAGATTTTTTGTTTTATCCATTGTAGGAGCATGACGGGGAGCTTTTCTGTTATTTCAGTGATTTTCCATATTGTAATTCAGCTTTTTAAGAGACATATTGGACAAATACCAGGTTCTCAAGAGCGGGGGGGGGGGGCTGCAATATTATTTTGCCGAAAGATTTATAACAATTTAAACGTCTGTGCGAAGCTAAAGGAGAATATGTTGGCGAGTTATTTGCTCGCCTGTCTAGTTATAATCTTGCCCATATAAGGAGCCCCCCCCCCTTTTACTGCAAGATGGGAGAATACCAACAAAAGCTTATCGAGAAATAAATATGATAATAAATTAGGATTAGAATTTATCCCAAACGAAGGATTAATAAATAAAAAGGATTTCAGAAGCGGGTCCTTTTTTTAGTCTAGATTTAGGATTTAAAAAGTTGGCTGGGCTGAGTCTTGATGAAGGATTAAGTATGGATGAATAACTGGCCTGGGGCTTTTCTTCCGTCCCTCACACCAAATTTTACAAATTTATTTAATTTGTTAAATCATTATCATTAACCCTAGGATAAATCAACAAATTTAGTAAATGCAGGGTTCAAGGAAGAAGGGATACGGCGGGGGGTAAAGAACTATAATAACGTACTATTTTTAAATGACTTAAAGATTCTTTGTTTTTCAGTCTGGTCGGCGAGTGGATCGCCGAGGACGATTGTGTATGTTTGAGGAGGTTGCTGTCGACCAATCCTACCATAGCCTCCAGTCCTCGCACAACCCCTCCTGGATCCTCGGGTTCAACAATAACAACCTGGAGAAGGTTTACCAGGAGAACCGTCTCACGGACCACTGGGCGGCGAAGGCCAGGCGAGGTTGGGTCAGCCGAAGGGAAAACTGCGACGCACAGTTTTCCAGCGCAGCCAACACGCCGGCCAACCTCGCAGACAAGTTTTCTGGACTTATTAATCTAATCAGTGATCTGGAAAATAATGTAAGAGTTGAAGACAAAGCGGCAAATTTAGACCAAGATCTCAGGACATTTCAGAGCAGTGGCGGCGGTCAGCAGCCGACAGTGTCCAAAGCTCATCTAGAAGCTCTGAAACTCCAACATGAGCTTGTCTTAAAAGGAGTGAGAAATAAAATCAGACATTTCCCAAAGAAACAACGGCTCAGACCTTCAAGAAAGGACAAAAAACGTTATAGAAAAAGTCTAGCCATGCGCCAGACTCAGAGTTCTGGCCAAACAAACTAAAAAGAGGAATTTAAAATTGTTTTTATTTTCTTAGATTCATTCAGTTCAGTTCATTTGTTATTGGTATATCGTTAAAGAGGCTACAAGTCAATATAGTCATTACATATTTGTACAAACCGTATTTAATCAATATTTATCACTTTGTTTAAATTTTAAGGTAGAGTACAGAAATATGCAAACCTTCCAAAGTTTGATTTTGTTCAAATTTACGCGAAGTTTTGTCTAGGCTGGATTTCTGTATTACCTTTATACATGTGATTGGTAGTAATTAATTATTCATTATTAATAATTAATTATTAATTGTGAGTAATTAATTACTATTTTGAAAAAGCTGTCATTCCCCATACCCCCCATTTCCGTCCAAAATTCTTCAGAACATTCCAGTTTACATCCTTTGTAGGGATACTTTTTATCAAATTTTATATTTTAACCCTTGTCCTGGGACCAAATCAACGTCTAGAGGTTCCAGACGGAATCAAAACAAGATATTGTAGACGTCGATCCGCCAAGATTTTACAGACATCATTTTTTAAGCTTTTCCATTTTAATGTTTTTAGAAACATTTTTGCTGAATGGTTGGTTTGCTTCTCCCGGGGTATTCTGGAGAACTAAATACATTTTTTGTCACGTAGAATCTCTAAATACATTTTAATACTGTTAAATATTTTCGATTTGGGCTTTATGTTTAGAATAAACAAAGGTGATGAGAGAGAGAAAGTTTTAAATTTTTTAACTTTTGAAAATTGTAAAAAAAAAACAAATAGTATGTTGAGAGAGATAAGAAAAGTGATTAATTGTATTTTTCAAAAATCTTAAAAGAAAGACGAGTAAATCTATAAAATTTTTAAAGCGTTCTTTCATGCTAATTTTTATAGAAAATGCTTAAAATAACATCGCAAAGTTGCATCTTGCATTTAAAAAATAAATCGAAAGAACAGACTTGGATTTGAAATCGATGAAATTATTAAATATAGAAAACTCCATAGGACAGTTTTCTCTAGGTCAAATGAGCGGGCACCAAACTGAAATCTTGATCAAAATCACATGATATGAAGAATCAGTTACAGGGTTCGTCACAAAGGATGATACTTCAAAGACAACTTTAGGGAAACCTTGATTCCTTGCAAGTTTAAACTTCCTAATTTTTTCGCTAAATCATTAAATAAGCCATTATAAGACTATATTTACTGTTGGAGACTTAATTTACCCTGGTGATCGTCATTCTTTAAAAGATTCAGGTCGTCTTTACAATCTCATATTTCGTGGTTAACCAACCATGTAGGTTAGCTGAAGTGAAAGTAAGAGGTTTGGTGATGAACATAAATGGAGTTTAGATAGGTTCGGTGATTTTTATCCATGAAATGATTAATGATGTACATGGGTTACAACCAAGGATGAGACTGTAATTACAGTTCCAGCTAAGATGAATGATTTTGAGTAAACCTTGAGTTTAAAAATAATTATTTAAATTATTAATTTTAAAATACATATCGTCGTTGTTCTACCTTGAATTTAGTGTTTAAATCTAAAGATGTTCTTCTTTTTCTCCTGGCTGTAGAAATGCGCAAGTCACTATAATGAGAACCGCAATTAATAATAATCAATTTAAGATAGAACACGAGTGACAACTCTGTCATTTTACATAGACAAATGTCTAAGAGGGTTCCGTTGAAAATCGGACATACTTCTCTACTTGTAGGGGGGGGGGGTCATTTTAAATGGTTTTAGGTACTTTCCCAAAGGCATTTTCCCAAGGGCAACTTCCCAAGGGCAACTTCCCAAGTGACAATTTCCCAAGCGGCAACTTCCCAAATGTGCAATTTCCCAAGCGGCAACTTCCCAAATGTACAGTTTCCCAAATGACAATTTCCCAAGTGTCAACTTCCCCATGAAGGAAAAACGGCATTTTCCCCATGAAGGAAAATATTAAATGAACATTTAAGGTTTACATTTCTTTCTAATTTCTCAACTTATTTTTAGAAAATACGCAACTTAAAAAGAAAATTTCATTCAGTTTCTCTCAGTTAGCAAGGCAAGAACATGTTGATGGCCTAAACCCTAATTTCAAAGAATGAAAATGTATTAAACGATCCTTATTATTATTTACGGTAAGGTTAAGCCTTCTGAGGCTAGGGAGCCGCGAGCGCTGCAGCTTTTACTAAGAAAATGAAAACATTATTTAAGGTTAGGTTATAGCGTCTGCGGGGCCGCAGGCAAAATAGAGGCCGAGCGCTGCTTCTAGGATGGGCTAGGGGGCCGAGCCAGGAGCGTACGAGGGCTTTTGTTCAGGGGGGGCACAATTTGTGCGCGTAAGCGCGCAAAAAAAATTGTGGTTTCCCCCCCCCCTTGGCAACATTTTGCCCCCCCCCCCTTAAAAACCCCTTTTTTGTAAAAATATTGATACCTTTTTTAATGTTTTTTGCCCCCCCCTCCCACCTGGACTTTGTTCAACATAAAAATACACCAAAAAAGACTACGTTTTTGTGTGGTTACTAACCTTATATAGTCTAAGAATTATTCCTTTGCTTGAAAAACTAACTTTTTAACTTTATAAATTTATCACTTAACTCCATCACAGCATCATCAAAAATTATATTTTTATTAATAAACTAAATTTTTTTCTGAAATTTTTATATAGAATTTACTCAATCTACATATTCAACAACTCTATTAAGCTACAATTTTCTGGGATTTGCTTGCACAAACATTTCAATGATTTTTTTCAGTAGAGAGCTCAGACAGCCTTATAGGGTGTAAAGCTATAAGTGCAAGATCGTTAAGTCATAGTACATCTTGTGTAATGAACTATTCTCTTTAGAAGGCTAAAACTTTTCTCTCCTTGTATTAACAGTGAATTTTGACAAATCCTTAGTCTTTGTTATTGTCAGGTGTTACTTTTTAAACGTAGTTTCCTTTTAATTTTGTATTTTCCAGGGGGCAGTGCCCCGCCTGGAACTCCCAGGGGGGGCAAAAGGACTACTGCCCCCCCCCCTAGGTACGCCACTGTGCCTGGCCTGAGGAAGGGAAATGCAAGCAGATGTAATATTAAAAGAGCCTCCCCCATGGGTGCCCCCCCTCAGCCTCTCAGGGGGGGCACACGTAGAGGGGGCGGGGGGGCGCGGTCCCCCCTCGTACGCCACTGGGCCGAGCGCTGCGGCTATTCCTTGTTTTAAAGAAAGGAAATTGTTTTTTGGGAAAATATACATTTTGGAAGTTGCCGCTTTTCCTTCATGGGGAAGTTGCCACTTGGGAAATTGTTACTTGGGTAAATGTACATTTGGGAAGTTGCCGCTGTTTCTTTATGGGGCAGTTGCCACTTGGGAAATTGTCATTTAGGAAAATGTACATTTGGAAAGTTGCCGCTTGGAAAATTGCACATTTGGGAAAATACCCTTAGGAAGTTGCCGCTTGGGAAAAGGCCTTTGGGAAAGTACCTAACATCCTTTAAATTACGTCTACACTCTACAGTTCCTTTAGTCTCATTTTTGTGGGTAACCCTTTAATATATCTGTGTCTCCCAGATATTTTGTTGAATAAAAATGTGCAATATGCATATATCTGCAACATTGCGCCGTTATATTCAATCAACTCTTCAATATATTGTGCAAAATTAAAGTTTTGCAAGTGCACAATTGCAAATTTGATTCGCACGAACTTGACCCTCTGGAGTAAAATAATTTGGAACCATGCTCTAGTACTGGCGTTATATCTCCATGTATATTTACAATAAGAACAAGAAAACTGTGAAAGAGGAGGATGACTTTTAGACTTAAGTTATGATTTTTAATACCGGGTTACCCACAAAGGATGAGACTGTAACGACGACCTGAAACTCCGTTTGACGCTTCCAAGGTATTTTTAATTTAATATTTGGGAAAAGAAAACAGAAGTTACAGTTTCAATATATTACAAAGGAAAATTTTTTAAATCGTATTACCAAGGTGAAATGTTGGAAGTGCATCAGCCTTGCCACTGGGCTGCTATACGGTATTCATGAATTATTTGTATTGCAAAGTTTTTTATTTTACTTTATTTTCAAAGCTAAATATGTTTGTAAATTAGCATGTTTCACTTTTATTCTATCCTATTATAAAGCTTGGTAACTAACCACCACTACCCTAGGATGATCATTTTAGGTATTATATCCAATAGTTCAAAGAAGGTTTTTTTGGGAGAATTTTTCTTGCCTGGTTCATTGGATCCATAATTTACCAGATTCTTAATTCAAAATAGAACTAAGATGTATATGTATAGCAGTAACCCGTCCATAGGCTGATGATGAAAGATTCTTCTAAGGCCTTCTACGAAAGTAGAACCTAACCATTACAAAATATTAAATATAAGGAAACAGCCAGGGTTAATTCCTTACAATCGTCTCTGAAGTCTCATCCTTTGTGAGTAAGTCTGTAGACTAACACTTGCACGTACAGTGTACACTGTACATGAACCAATTTCACTTAATACGAGATTTTTAGGCTGCTAATATAAACCTGTTTGCTTTGTTACAGTATTAATGCACTTAAAGATTGCTTTAAGGTCGTCTTATTATTCCACAGTTTTCTGGTTCTCACTGTAAAATATTTTTGCAAACCAATGTTGTAGACTTTAGATATGTCAAACTATAAATTCTGTCAAATAAAGTAATGTAAGTTTGGTTTACACCATCGGTTTGCAAAGATATAGGGATTAGACAATTTGAGTTTGTATCGCACTGTGAACTAGACAGAAGGACAAGGTAACTATCTTATATGTACTTTGTTGTATTGTATAGCTAGTTGTACGTGAAGTTTGAAATATAACTCTCTTATATGTACTTTGTTGTATTGTATAGCTAGTTGTACGTGAAGCTTGAGATATAACTATCTTATATGTACTGCGTTGTATTGTATAGCTAGTTGTACATGAAGTTTGAGATATAACTCTCTTATATGTACTTTGTTGTATTGTATAGCTAGTTGTACGTGAAGTTTGAGATATAACTATCTTACATGTACTTTGTTGTATTGTATAGCTAGTTGTACGTCAAGTTTTCAGTTATAACAATCTTATATGTACTTCATTATATTGTAGCTAATTGTACGTGAAGTTTGAATTATAACAATCTTATATGTATTTCATTGTATTGTAGCTAGTTGTACGTGAAGTTTGAGTTATAATTATATTTTTTTTTTATAATTTGAGAATAATGCATGGAAGGCTGAATGAAATGACTTAATAACGTCAAATGTGATTATTTATTATCGGTCATCACACTAAACTAAGGTAGTGTGTTAGGTCAAATAAGCCTCTGATAGGCCGGGTACTGTAAAAAGTCTAGCCGCGCCATCCAAGTTAAAATAAAGCCTAAAAGGGATAGGGTCGGGCCAGTACTGGCCGCGCGTCACTAAGGCCGATACAAGGGTTAGGGGGTCGGTCCAGTTCAAATTCAAATTAACCCTAGTCCACCGTGTCCTATAAAAAAAAAATCTTAAAAATCTCGAAATACTTTTGCGAAATCCAATTATAAAGCAAACAATTAAAAATAATTACAAAACTTTAGTGGAAGGGAGGAGAGGGGGGGGGGTTCTGAGAGCTCCCCCCTACATTAAAGAAATAACTATAGTTTGTACTCTTTCTTTTAGTCAATATTGATAATAATTTCCATAATGATTTATAAAGCTCA